GGCATTTCAGTTCCTCTCTGAGAGAGGATGGCTCAATGGAGTTGATTGGCTCGGTGGTATCACATCAACTGTTAACAGCCAAGGGTTCAGATACCAATGATCGGTTTAGCACTCAGATCCTAGTGTAGCCTACAAATATTTGCTGAGCTTCAGTGAAACTAATTAATATTGCTTGAGTCAATCATGGATTCCAGTAGAGATCCCACTATGACCAAAAAGTAAATGAATATATAAACACAAGTAAAGGCTTTTCTTTTTATATTACACATACAGTAGGCCATTTTTAAAATAAGACCCTCTGCCCTTGACACATCAAGTCCATAATAAATTAAGATATACTGCTTAACAGCATTATTTTCAAAAGTAAACTCAAAAATCGTTCTCTTGGAATTTTCCCTCTTCTGACAAAATGAACCTGTAATGGAAGCAGGACTAGTTAAGTACACACACGCACATACACGCATGTGTACACTAACAGACACAAAGGTTTTGACCTGAACATTGTCTTTTTTTAGACTGACTGAAGGAAACTCTGATTTACATTCGTTCTTCAGGCCGCCATAGCATTTTATAGTTTTCACCTGTGTCTTGGATCTTTGTACTCACAGTTGTTTCACTCATTGTAATTGATGATAATTATCCAGAAATATTTATAGAAGAGAGATAAATATATTTCTTTCACTTAGTGAATTAATTTGTACATTCTCTATCTTATTCCAAGTATTTTCATTTAGAGTAAAAAGAGAGGTTCGTGGGTGGAGCTTTTGAGAGTTTATGATTCTCCTAAAAATATATATGACATCCTATTTGTGTGTATGTGTGTGTGTGTGTGTTCAGAACATGTATTTTCATGGGAAGATCAAGTGCTTGTCAAACTCAAGTCCATAAGTCGAAAAATGTGACTCACTGATTTATTACAACCACCTGAACGAACGTGACTTTGTGACAGTTTCTTCATAACTTCTAGAGGTTATGATCCTCTACCTCCATTCCTCCTCCCCCAACTCCCCTCCCTTGCCATTTTCCTTTCTTTTCAGGGGCCAGGGCTGAGGTGGGGAGATGGTGTTGAGCCTCCAGGCTGAGTTCGAAGATAAATATCTCTTGAAATGAAAATTAGAGATTAATAATAATAATAATACTGCAACTGCAACCCTAGGAAGGTTGGGGGAATGAAGGAAGATAGTTTATTTTGATATAATTATATTATTCTAAGCTATGAGTCTCAAGCAACTCGATGGCATACAACAACAATTTTAGAACATATACTGGCATTTTTTTTCCTTATGGGCTGCATTGATGCCACAGTATTAGCTGAAGTTAACACTATGTTTTATTAACAAAATAATATGAGGATAAAGATTTACATAACTTGCTTAACTTTTTTACATTCAGGATTAAAATATGGTGTGTGAAAAGTAAAAGGAACAACTTCATTTTAAAAAAATGTATCTTATTTTGAAATACAAATAATAAGTTTGAAAGAACTTGGAGTGCTTTCTTTATATTTACACCTTATAATTAAGATTAAAAAGAGAGAAACCCTTTATGAGTTTAGGCATATCTCCCTAAACGGCAATAATGCCTATTCTCTGTTATAAGCTGTTATACCCAACACAGGAACTCAACTCGTTGCCGTTAAATAGGAACCGATTCATAGCTCGCCCTCCAGCACTTTTTTCCGAGATATGAATCACACCAGAGGAGATTGTCCTCCTTTCTCTCCTGAAGGTGCTGGTGGATTCCCTTGGCTGGCAGTACAAATCCTTGGCCACAAGCCCACCAGAGCTCCTCTGTAAGCTGGACTAGTTAGGCTAATTAGTCCATTGAAATCCGGTTAAAAAACTGGATGTATTTCTCTAATTCCTTTTTAAAAATATTTGTGAATTTTTTATATTAAAAGTCTCAGTACAGTGTTGAACTGAAAGTAGATTCTAAACAAATTTTAAAAAACCACAAATGCTTAAATAATTTGCATCCAACTGTATTATATACTGATGTTTAGCAAATGTTTTCTTTTTTTATTTGTCTGTAATTTTATAGGCTATTGTTGTTGAATCTTTGTAAATTTGTATTGTGTACCATCGAGTCGGAACCGACCCATAGCTGATCCTTGAGTACATTTTCAGAGGCAGCTAATTACACAGGGAGATTGCCCATCCTTCTTCTGTGGAGCAGCTGGTGGATTTGAACTGTGTGCCTTTGGGATTAGAGTGCAGTTTCTTACAACTCAGCTGCCAGAACTTCCTTTATAGACTGTTGTTGTGGTGTACTCTCACGTCGGAAATGACGCCTAGCTGACGCTGCAGGGGGTTTTCAGAGACAGGAATCACAGGTGAGGAGATTGCCCATTCTTTTCCCTTGGAACGGCTGGTGGACTTGAACTGTGTGCCTTAGGGATTGCAGTGCAGATTCTTTCCACTAGGTCACCAGAGCTCTTTTTTATACATATGTGCGACAGGGACTGAAGCACAACTTCTTGCCATCATGAGAGGTATATTTAAATAAACTGAAGCCACTACATAAATTATGGTTCAGTTAGTTTCTCTTTACTCAGTGCTGAGATGTGAATTAAGACAACCAAATTCCAAGCAGTTACCTATTGACCCAGCTCTGTATGCGCATGCTTATAAGATGATGCTCAGAGGTGGGTCGTGCGCTGCTGATCGGCAGCCTCTCTGGTGCTTTCAGTCGACCAGAGGCTCCACAGGAGAAACATGGACAGTCTCCTCCGGAGTGACTTACAGCCTCTGAAATCTGCTGGCGGGTCAACAGCAAATGTGCATCAGTTTCAGCTCTGTGGCAACAAGTTTGAGGATTTTTTTTTAGTCTTACATAAAGCAACCTTGATGATGCAGTGATTAAGTCCCGTCTGCTAACTACAAGGTTGGCAGTTCATACCTACCAATTGCTGTAAGGGGGGCGGGGGGATGATGTGGCAGTCTGCTTCAGTAAAGGTTTCAGCCTTGGAAGCCCTCTTCTCAAGTTTGCTGGCTTCGTGGTAAGGAGTCACTTTGCCAAGGTAGAGAGCTATATGGTTTGAATCTACAAAGTGCTCTGTGGGGGGAACAATGAACAGTCTCCTTCCGTGCAATTTACAGCCTCTGAAAACCTGCTGGAGGGTCAACAGTGGTCAGTTCCAACTTAAAAATACACAGCAAGGAGAGCTGCCTGGTAGGCAGCTCTGGTGGTCAAAGTGAGTCAAGAGTTACACTGCCAACAAAGGCTGGCAGTTTGAATTCACCATCTTCTCCACTGGAGAAAGATGGGTAGTCTTTTCCTGTGTGATCTGCAGCTTCTAAAATCCCACTGGAGCTTCAGCTAGGAGTTGGTTCCATTTCCCTGGCACCCACAACAGCAATACTCTGTCCAACAGCTTCACTGTGCGTGAATGAACTTGATGGCAATGGTTTGGGTTTGGGTTGTTGTTGGGTTTTTGGGGTTTTTTTTTTATGTCTTTGTCTTTAATAATAGAAACACACAGCTCACAGTTTAAAAGGACATAATGTGCGAAGAAGACTGAAGATATTTGCGTAGACTCTAATATGGTTTCTATAAATGTGAGATCGCCTATCCAAGGCATCTCATGAGTGGTTCTGTTCAGTCTGCAAAGGAAAAGAAAGCAGTGCTGTGTGGCTTTGTCTCAGATGTGCTGTGCATAAAATCCCCGCTAAACAGGGCTCAGAACCCTTGAGGCAGCACGTGCATTTATGATGAAGTGCTCAGCTGTAACGGTACACAAGTTGGGGAGGAGGAAATCAGTTATTTTATGGAAAAGAAATCATAGGAGCGAGGATCTCTCAAGGATGGCAACAAAACACAATTAAATGGATTCTCTTACTGAAAGTAGGCTGCTTTGAACTTGTGTTTCATTTCTATACTAATTTCCTTGTATACTCACATACCCAGATGTTTAGAGGGTGGAACGTTCAACCCAGTCACTCACTGATTCTGAGAGGGGGAGGTTGAGATCCAGAAGCCCCAGAGCAGATGTGAGCCTTCCATGATGTAGGTGAGGTTGAGTGCTGGTGAAGGCCAAGTTCATCACCACCCTAGTCATAGGTCTTCTGGAGTCCCTGCAGGGCCACGAGACATAAGAACTGAGTGTTCTCTCACCATTTAATTCCTGGTCCCAATTAGGACGAATGATAAATTTGATTAGGCAAAGTAGAGATGACAATTTCAGAGACTTCAACTTCTTAAAACAAGAGTGAAGGAAGAAATGTGGCCCTGACCCTTCGGAAAATGATAGCTTTCTATTTCCTGAAACCTATACTTTCTCAAACACAACCTTTGTTGTATAGTGAAGGCTTTCTGTTTGTAGCTGTTAACCCTGGAAAGAGTTGAGAATATAACAATGGAGAATGCATTTTTTTAACTTTTGAAAAGTATATGTCTTAATCTATATTAATGACTCCATTTAATCCAGGGTTTCTGTAAATCCTTCTCAGATACTGTCATCAGTTAAGGTCTATCTGGTTTCAGGATCGACTGCATGTGGCCCAGTTGTTTCCATTTGGTTTTTTCCTGCCTTGTTTTCAAAGATCATATACTTAGTCATTTTCCTTGTGAAGTTGTTGTTACTATGTCTGAACTTTTACCTCCCAGCCAGACCATATTGCTGCTATTGTCTTACAGTGGTTCATGTATTCAAGTCCATCAGCATTTATATACCCTTGTGCAGATACATTGTCCATCCAATTTAGAAATTATAAGGCCGTGTTCATTCAGTAACCATACCTCAATTTATAGGTTTTACTTTTAAACCTAAAAGTTAATCTTCCCTTGTGATCCTAACACTAGGTGAGATGAGAGCAAGGTAAAATGTTTCTTTTATGATTTTTTCATTTCTTAGGGATCAATCTGAGTAGGAATTTGATTTTTGTTCTGCATTTTGATAAATTATTACTAATGCAGGCTAAACAAAAAATGGGGAAATTAAGGAAATTTTTTTTTCATATCTAGCTCTGGTTTTATAATTATATCTTGTGCTTTCTTTGCAGGACCGGGTAATTGCGTTAGAAACGGTAAGTGGGGGACTTTTCTTTATCAAAATCACTCCTGTCTCCTGTTGTGTATTCCAGAGCACTCCACAAAGGAAATAGTGCCAGAAAGCATTACTGAGACTGTATCTAAGATGGAAAAGAAAAATCACTGAAACTGTAACTTCAAGGGCATGTAGATATAGAAACCACACAAAGTATCAAAAATATGTAAACATATTTGAGTGACCACTGCTCTCCCAGGGAAGCTGATGTGGAAGTATACTAACTTATAGAAAATTGTAATTATTACTTTATATTTGTTTTTATATTTTACAATCCCCCCAAAAAAACTTGTTCATAAGAAACTGAGAAGTATGCTCCATTATTCATTGAGATCCAAGTCTTTGACTATCATAATTTTTTTGACTTTAAAAAAAATTCTTTTTACTAATGTGAAATGCTCTGATAGCCTTATGAGTAAGATTTTGCAGTGTTAACCCAAAGCCAGGCAGTTTGAATCCATGAACTGCTCCAGAGGAGGATAATGGGTAGTCTGCTTCTCTCTCTGCAATTTACAGCCTCTAAAAACCTTCTGGTTAGGTGTGGGTGTGTTCTGACTTGACGGCAATGAGTTTTTCCACTAATATCTGGAAAATAATAAAAACTAGTAGCTAGTAGCTTTTCAATAACCTTACTTAGAAAATCTACTTAAAAATATTTTCAATGTAAACTATATGAATGTATTTTTAAAGTGTTTCTTTTTAAAAGAAGGGGCAACTTGTTCAGTGTTAAATAATAGGTAAGTTTAGAATTTCCACCCAACATACCTTGATGAAAGGACAATGCTTATAATAACATATTAAATAGAAACAACTTAAAGAAATAAAATTATATGTACTTTAATTATAAACATGGAAAAATCAAAGAGAATGAATAAACTAGTATAAGTGGCTCCTTGGACAAGTTGTAAATTCTTTCCTCTGTTTTGTTACAGTCTACTTTATTCGTCACTCTATTAAATTACTTTTATAAATAGTCCCTTTTTAATAATGAAAACTATGTAAACTGGAGAAATAGTAACATAAACTATAGTATCACCATATTGTTGTTGTTAAGTGCCATCGAGTTGTAGACGACTCACAGCGACCCCATGAACGAAAAGCCTGAGCACTGTTCACAGAGTTTCCAGAGGCAAGCCATTTCGAAAGTGGATGCCACTCCTGCTTCCAAGCTTGTTTTAATTGGGAAGCTCCACCAAACACTGTCCACCATGGGTAACCATTATCACATTTGGCATACCAGTGTCACAGCGTTTAGCATCACAGTAACCAAGAGTTACCTCTGTACAGCAATGCACAGACCCGTGCTATACCACTTAGGAGAATGTTTGACAAGAGTAAATTTAAACCAGACCTTAGGGCCACAGATTAAAATCATCCACCTTGGGCTTGGTAGCATAACTTTCTGTCCACTAGGCCAATGTAGCTCTATGTTGTCGTTGTTATTGTTAAGTGCCATCGAGTCATAGATGACTAATAGCGACCCTTGGGCTTGAATGTTATTTTGTCATAATAGTTGTATTTTTTGGTTTTTTGTTTGTTTTTTTTTCTACTAGTTTATTTACAAAATTCAAATACTAATTGTGTTTTTTAAAAGTAAAATTTTCCAGGCTGTTATGCTTTAAAAAAAAAAACAAACCCGAAGAGTATTATATAAAGACTATGATGCATATGTTGTGTATGCATATTTTTCATGGGTAAAATGACCCTGAAAATACTTTTAAACTACTAAGGGAGGTTATTTAGGAGCACTAATGTGCTCTTTTTTTTACTGAAAATAAGGTTTTACCTTCCAGTGAGAACAGAGTGAGAAACCTTTAAACAGAAAGGTTAATAAAGAACAAAATGCTTGCCAGTAAAGTATATTTAGTGAGCTGTGTAAGTAAGTGGGGATTTGATTGACAGTGTCTAAATCTAGCATGTAAATAAGCTACTCTTTATATCTAACTGGGTCATTTGGAAAGTGGTGGTGTGATGACATTGTAGGTGAATGAAATGTATAGTGATCGTTCACATATCTCTCACTTACCTTTGAGAAGTAGCTCACCAACCGGATTTGACTGATGAATTAAAAGCTCTTTCTGAAAGCATGAGTGGAAACTGAATTTTTAGTCCAAGGAGCTGGATTCTATGTATAAAAAAATGTACATAGTACATTTAGCAAATCACTTGCTTCTTTCTTCAGTAAAAATAACTCTTATTTACCTGTTTTATCAGTTTGTTGTAAATATTAAGAAAGAATGTGTGTGTATTTGTAGAACTATTTAACATCATATGGATATTAAGTTACCATTACCATAATATGACTATTTGCTATTTCTTATTCGATCTGAATTATAATCTATGCCTTGTGAAATTGAAAATTACGCCAACAACAACCAAAAGTATGTAACTGTTCTTTATATTTACGAGTCCTTTTTGTCCGTTTAATCTCTTTCGTAACAAAGTACTTTGAAATAGAATCTTAAGTGCCTTACTCTAAAGGTTCCCTTAGGAACAAAGGTAAGAAGAAAAAGTCATCGTGAGTAAAATAAAATTGATTAAATAGACTAGATTCTTTCCAGTGGCAGTTGTCTCAAGATGGCTTTAATTTGAAGTAATTATCATAAGTAAAACCATAAAAATTAAAATGCTCAGTAATAATATTAGTACTCAAATATTATGAACTCTTTTGGCTTTGCCTGGCATGACATGGAATGGATTTAATACACTTAGTAGACTATTCAACTGGTGAAGTGTTTTATAGTTCATAAAATCAAATATGCTGAAAGTGAGCTCAAGATCATTGGCTGTTATCTCACTGCTTAGCACTTAAACCACAGGGAATGCGGCGCATTTGGTTGGTGTGACTTGACGGATGCATAAGATCTTACACTGGGAGTAGTGGTATTATACTGCAAATCAGCAAACAACTGACATGGCATCATCCTAGTTGTTGTAGTATTTACATTACATTGATTTTAACGTTCATTGTTTTTAATGCCTGAAAGTAAGATAGGTTCCTTGTAATGAGTTGCTTTCTTTAGCATCCCTCCACATTGTCTGTGTGCTCAGGTTGCAACCACATGGCCATTTTCCCAACTTTTCTCATTCATTCACTGGCTAACAATCATTTTGGACCAAAAATTCCATTATATTTGCAAATACATCTCCAGGGCTCCAGAATATGCCTAAGTTGTTGTTGTTGTTGTTGTTGTTGTTGTTGTTATGTGCCGTCGAGTCGCTTGTGACTCATAGCGACCCTATGTACAACAGCCCTAAACCCTCCTCTGTCCTGTGCCAATCGCACTGTCTCCGATACACCCATCCCGATTACCCCAGTCACTGAATCAATCCACCTCATAGAGAGCCTTTCCCTCTGTGCTATCCCTCCACCCTCCCAAGCATGATGTCCCTCTCCAAGGACCGGTCCATCCTTACAACATGTCCAGAGTAGGTTAGATGGAGCCTCAGAATCCTTGACTCCAGGGAGCCACCCTTTCCAGAATGAATCTGTTTGTTTTCCTAGCAGTCCCTGGTACCCTCAATACTCTTCTCCAGCACCAAAGTTCAAAAGGCATCAATTCTCCTTCTATCCCCCTTAGTCGTTGTTCAACTCTCTGATATATAACAAGTGATAGCAAAGACCACAGCCTGTATCAGATGCACCTTAGTCTCCAGAGAGACACTATTGCTCTTCAGTACTTTGGAGAGGTCCCTAACAGCAGACTTTCCCATGGCAATGTGCCTTTTAATTTCCTGGCTACTGGTGCCAAGACTGTTGACTGTGGAGCCAAGCAAACTAACACTGTGAACAATCTCAATCTCTTCACCGCCCACTCTGATGCTGCCAGTTGGCCCAGTGGTGAGAATCTTTGTCTTCTTGACATTGGGCCTCAATCCATATTGGAGGCTGCAGTCCTTGACCCTCTGCAGCAAGCGCGTCAGGTCCTCCTCAGTTTCAGCAAGTAGGGTTGTGCAGTAGTCAAAATATTTTTATAGAATGAATGAGTATTAATTAAACTGTATCTGACCCTCACATAATGTTATGCTTAGAAACGCAGATATCAACAGTACAAAACAGTACAAAACTCAACAAAAACAGTACCAAAAAATTGACCAAAATTCCCAAGAGGCACATAAATGTATTCTTTAATTTATGATCTTTCTGATCAATACTTTATTTAGTGTACTGCAGAAGCACTATCCTCTCTAAAAGTTATTTTTTAGCAAACTGTCCTCACTACTATGAATTTTTCTGGGAAGGACTAACTTGCAGCCAACAATATAGCAAGTTGATTCTGCATGTAAATGGTTACCTGAAAAGAAATCTTCATTGAGAGTCTCAGTCTGGACCCTTAACAAAGCTAAATCAATAGATATTTATTTGGCCCACTGTTGACATGCAGTGTGCACACAAGCCACAAACTGGAAGAAAATATTTGCAAAACATTTACTTGATCAATAACTTCTACCCCAAATATTCAGTGAGCTCCTAAAACTGTCAACAATAAGAAAACAACCAAAACCAAAATGGTTAAAAAAAAAAAAAATCTGAAGTCACTTCACCAAAGAAGACAAGTTATATGTTCAAAATTATGTATCTGTCAAACTAAAAAGCCAAAGTTATTTCCTTCTTAAGAAGACTACTTCACGGGAAGCCACACAACCTTTTGGTTAATATCCCTGCATGCCTGTCCCATAAGAGCTCCTTATATGTCACTAAAGAATTGACAATTCAAGCAGGGAAGTACTCAACACTTATTAGAATGACTAAAATTCAAAACCTTGACAATACAAACTACTAGTGAGGCTATGAAATAACAGAAATGCTAATTGAGTGCTGATGGAAATATAAAATGGTAACAATATTTCCAGTTTGGCAGGAGCTCTGCTTGCCTAGTGGCAAGAAGCTGCACTGCAATCCCAAAGGCATTCAAGACCACCAGTTTTTCCACAGAAGAAAGATGGGCAGTGTCCTCCTGTGCCGTTACTGCCTCTGAA